GCGCTGGAAACCCGATGATCTTCGCATGACTCGTACCCGTGGAAAAATATTACTGATACTTAGCACAGATGTTTTATCAATTAATAACTTGCACTTCCAGCAGCATTGAATTGTCACAAATGGCTACGGTCTTTAATGAATGAGGCGCGCTTGTTGTGAGACTGGCAAAGGATGACAAATCTCCCATAAAAATGGCATTTTACTAGAGTAGAAAATTGAAGTCGTACAGTATGGTTTTGCTGTTGACAAGGTTTGTTTGGTTTTCAAAATCTAGGAAACATTTCTTCAGATATGAGCGGGAATAACTATCTTCTACGGGAGAACCCAGTTTACAAGAACGACTTCTAGCCAGGTTCCTGTGCGTCGCAGACATACTGTAGCAGCGCCAGAAAGATGGATATACACATGTAATGGGTTTCAATGTTTGTCAAATCAAGTTGATGCTAAGCCTGAGTATTTTTTATTCCTCAATCCTCTCGTACAGCAGATCAACTTGATATTTTGCTGGGACGGCCTCGTTGAAGCTGGTGGTATTCCTTCTTTGCATACTTGATATAAAATTAATAAACCAGTAAATACGTTCCAGCTTACACTTCCAAAGGGTCTTCGTTAGAAAATAAACAGGAATTTCATTAGTCTGATATTTCAGTAGGCCCTAGCCCCTTGCGCAGATCACCTTAAACTGAGGGTTCACACCATATGTAGGTCTGTAGGGGGATGGCACCTTTTTTGCAATGGACCCTACAAATGAGTGTGTGTATGACGGTTTCAGCACATGCATTCCCTCATTGTATCTGCCTATTCTCTCTCTTATGAGCCGTTACGCGTTCAGCGTGCTTTGTTCATGGCACCAAACCCATCCCTATGGTCTGTCTGATTCAACAAATATGAGAAACCTCAAAAGATTCCCTGACAATCTGAGAGGGTACGAGAAAAAACTGCTGCCTTCGTCCGTATTAACGCACTCCCATTAGACCAACTACGAGGGGTTTTTTAACGCGTTGGGATCCTCACGGAATTTCGCATACTGTAACGACACTCCCAGATAATCGCAACTCAATTATGGGAATTTGAAAGTCCATTTACAAACCTAATGAATCAAAATCAGAAGTCAGCATTTGATGAGCTATTAGTACGACAATACATGTATTCACAAGCAGTATCCGTCAGCCTGTGGCCGTTTCGACGTTTTGTTCGATAGCACTCGAATTGCCGAAGTTGTTATCAAGAATTTTCGAATATGCTTGCAGTTAGGGAGACTAATTCTAAGCTATCCGGAAATTTTTCCATAATTTTCCAGGTTTGTGGGCTGTGGGGGTGAGGCTTGTGGGTAGCCATAACGTCCTTCCTCCGCCCGGCGATGATGAAACAGCATCCTCTTACGATAAGATTGAATTGATTAGGGCATCGACATTCCTAGCGGGCAAATTTACAAGTTTGCCTCTCCTATCAGTTTGAGCAAAGCCTACTCGAGAAATCGAGTGAAAGTGAATAATGCGACCCATGCCGAATATACTCTATACCAGCATTTTAAAAAGATAAGTTGATTTTAAGTTGCCATATACCATGGAACATAATCGATTATACCTATAGTCAATGGGAAAGTATATAGTCCCACTAATAGCTACGAAGAGTTTTGAGCAGTATTTTTTCAGAAGTCTGTGGAAGGGTCAAGTACCTTCATCAAGCAGCATCATCTTCCATGCAGACCACAAAAGCTCAGAAAGGAAGAGCGGATCCCGTCGAGGCGGCGTGAGATACTACTGACAACAAAGGTAATGCAACACAACAAATGTATTCAAAGTTTTGTTGGTTTACGTCTTAGCTACCGATGTCAGGGTAATATTTGCTTTTTGGTAGACTTCATAACATGCCGCTGTAAGGATTTGTACGACCTGATCGTCCACTCGACTTCCTGCTGCGTAACTTTGTTCATTACGTAATGAATGCTTATGCTACGCTTCTCAACAACGCTATAAGGCAAAGATTCGGAAATGAACTTTACCATTCACCGAATTTTACCCATTTACCAAATTTGGAAATTTCCGCGGTGAATGAACTGTTCGGGAACTCTCCCTGTCCTGCTTGTCGTCAAGCCTGAGGAAAAATGCAGAAGAACGACTGTAAGTGCTATTGGCCCTACAACTCTCAATCAACTGCGTTACCAGATTGATTGATTTGACCCAGCAAAAAAGGAGATGTCATGAAACAAGGTGGAGTACATAAATTATTGTGAAATGGTATCACCATTTAATCACCCGAAAAATCAAAGCATGGTAACGGAAAAATGATTTTCCCTTTCGATCATCTTGTTGATAGCCTTTGGAGGCACGATCCCAACACCCCACATTCCATGCCCTCTCCGATGTATTTCCAGCCTTGAGCCTTGGTGCTCAAAAGGAGCATGACTTTAACCACACTACAACAACTGTCCTCTATTTTTGTAACAACGCTACCTTTCCAGGAATCTTTAATAAATAGTGGACTCCAGCCCCGTACGAAAGAGCGTTAGGGCTGAATAGTTATCAAAGTAGAAAGAATGCAAGTGTTATGGATTTTCACCGAGTTGAGAGGGCTTCCTAATACCAATGACATTAGCTATCCTAGAATAAGAAGTTTATTATTCGTTATAATGAGGCTCCCTTGCATACGGTATATGTTCTAGAGGAATTCAACATAACACCTCGAATAAGTGCTTATTTGTGACCTCCTGTCATCAAATCACTGAATAGTATGAGCTCAAAGGGTGGCAAGCGTCCATTTCGTGGCTCGGAACCAGCCTTGAGTTCTCCTTGAATGTTGCAGTCAAATAAAACCAAGAGGGTAGTTTCCGGTGAGAGGAAACCTGTTCATTCTGTTATGAAAGGTTCCGTGTAACGAGCTTTACAAGGTATCAATGTTAGTGGTCAATCGATATTTGCTAATTTTTTCTGGCTCCTCCTTAACGTGTATTGTTGTGAGATGCTCGCTAGGGGCGCTGAACAAAAGCGGCCTTGAATGAACTCACAATGACGAACGAGCAATTGACAGAACTGAACAAATTGAGTTATAATCGGCAGATGGTCGACACTAACACAGGACGAGATGTGCGAGGTGTTGAAAGGCTCTCGCTGATGACTTGCGATCTATGGCTTCGAGAGTCCCGCACGAAAGCCTAGAAAGGCGAAGGGAGTGCCAACGTTGCCGAAAATGGGTGCAGTTAGCGGTAAGAACAAAGCAACGCTTCACTACGACGGCAAACGTGTGTATTTGCATCTCTAGTTCCGATTTTGTCCCTATTGCAAAATAAACAATTCCAACAGGCAAAGGCATCTATCGGGTGTTTGTTTTGGGACCGGGGCCTTCAGCCAGCCAGTCAGCCCAAACGGCCGCATACTTTCCATACGTTTCCAGAATTTTCCATTCAATAGCGTTTATTCACATAGCAAATATAATCTCGAGAATCATACTCGAAATAAGGGACGAGCGACGGCCGAGGAACGGGCATGCGGCCGCGTTCCCACGTGGCCAGTGCACCTCGATAGTGAAAGATGTGTGGTCGATCGTCGGTGAACCACACACATCCACGCACAAATATATTTATATAGTCAAACAATCACAAACGCACATACACTTTTCGTTATGTATACATTTACATAATAATGACACAAGACATTGCTGTGACCGGAAGTTAGTCATAGAGATAACGTTAGAACTCGTACAAGAAGCTGAGTTTTCTTTGTTTTGAGTACGTCGCAATGCGATGACGTACGGAATTCGGCGGCGGAATATGGGACAGCATGCCTTAAAAAATCTCGATTGCAAGTGAATACAACACAATTACAAGCTGCGTTACAAACCTATCAGCTATACTACCAATTAGTTAGTTGGCTCAAATGCCTGCTACCCAGTGAACAGTCAAATATTCTTTGAAACTGTCGGAAGTGTGACTCATGCCGAAGGGAAAACCGGGCCAAAAGTGAAAAGATTCGTCTGAAAAAAGTTTCAATGGGCAGCGCATTCACGGATCCTTTTGTATTAGCCCCTTCTGATTTGCACACTCCTGCTACGCTTCCTGAAAAACCTTTTTTGAAATTTCTCAGTGCCTCTTACTAACCTCCCATCGGTCATCTCCGTATGATATCCCTGAAGATTGGTTGAATCCAATCAAAGTTGACTTTGATTAATTCTCTTTAGCTTTCTTTCATCATGTAGGCTCAAGTCCACTCATTCAATAAGTGCGGTTAAAACGACGTGGCAAAGTTCATTCAAAGAAGTTTTGACCGGGAACACATTGCGAGTAAGTGTGGCGACAGTGCCTAGATCACTCAGCACTAGCCGATTTTCTTGACTTTCCAATATTCTGTGAAAATTTCCTTGAGGTAATCCTAGGGTGCAGCAGTTCTATACGGGCGTAAATTGCCTACAGTCGAAGTAGCCAGATTTCCTGGTCCCAATTTTGTGGCGACGGTGAGCGCATTATGCTATTAATATTTGAGTCAATGAAGAAAAATTGTTCCCCCTCTATCCTGTTAGTGCTAACCGTGACAGTTATCGTCCAGCCTACTGAAAGGTTTGATGACGAAAAATCGTCGAGTGTCTTTGTGTGAAAGTGCGGAAGAGAGCGACCGTGGCGAAACTGGCAGCAATGTGGGTATCGGAACAAAACGCATGCGAATTCCAGATCGAAGTAGGTAAATAAAGGGACAATAGAGCTCGCGATTCGCGCTCTGTCAGGAAAAGGAGGCTGTGTCGTTGCGAGCGATGCCGCCACACGGCCAAGCAACGCGTCGGAAAAAAGCGGATTCAAGCGGTTCCGAGTGTGGATCCTTCCGCCTTCATCAAATACTACACAAAACCCCAGGCCGAACTGGTTTCATAGTCGTAGCGCAACAATTCTAACACTTCACAAGTGCACTGAGTACATTCAAACCTCACCACTCGACCGCTAATGAATCGAAACGACAAATATTCGTTAGATAGACGGGAAATGAATATGAACAATCGTACCAATTCTGAGTTCAGGTCGGAGGTGGCAGGGAGTTTGTCGAATGCGGTTGTGAGGCTGCAGCAACGGCTGCTGCCTGACGGGCATATGCGGCCATTACGTCGTACGGCGTATACGATGTGGACAACATTGTATTTGGGAAAAATGATGAGTAATAGCTGGTGAAATCCGGCGCCTTGATACTGTCCAAGGGGCTGTAGTTGGCGAAAATGGCTTGAGTTGCGAAAGGCGGTAGAGCAATGCCAAGGGGCAGTCGATTTTGGCTCTTCACTGCGGATTTGGGCTTACGTCGTGGACGATATTTGTAGTCCGGATGCTCCTGAAGCGATAATGATCATCCCTCACACTACGATCTCTTATTCTTATTCAATACATTCATCACTTTCATGACACTTACTTTCATGTGTATGGAGCGCAACCTTTTCGCCTCATCGATAAATGGGCGTTTGTCCTTGTCAGAAAGCTGCTTCCATTCGGCACCAAGTCGCTTGCTTATTTCCGAATTATGCATTTTTGGATTGTCCTGCAACGCGAAGTCCCTTATAGTATATGTAAATGAAGTTCGCGGTCCGAGAAACCCGTCATGTAAAGAGTGCAGCGTAGTGGCATGACCATGATTCCAACTTACTGCCTTATCATCACTAACTTTGACCTGCTGAACGTGTACGATGTGTTTCGTATGAGTGGAAGACAAACCTGCGCCATTTTTCGCCGTTGTCCTCGACTCCACACCATAAATGCATTCATCGGGCGTTTCACATGACTGTCTGTAGGTGATTTCGAGTCCTGTGCTGAAGGTGCAGGCGAGACTCCGGATGACACCGAAGCCGTTTCATCGTCATCAATCAGTTTCACTGACGAATTCCCGGGTAAGCATGTTGGATAAAGAAGCGATAGACCATTCATCTGAATGCATCTGACCTTCTTATTGTAAGATTAAACAAACTTGTGAGAAACATGAGTAAATGACCTAAATGACGGAATGAGCATGGAAAATGAAAAACGATGAAGCACGATTGAATGTGTCGAAGGTGGGAAAACGTAAGTGTAAGGCAATCGAGGGACACTTGTGGTTGAGGAAAACAAGAAAAGCAAAGTAAGAACCGGCACTCGTTGCGCCTGTTTCTTTGTGAGGCACTGTTCGCTGGCAAACATGATACGTGGGCGGAGTTAGGCGGAGCTCAGCTCTGGATTACGGTAATGGTCGATGGGCGGGCGGATGATTGCGGTTTTCCCATTGGCGCATTCCAGAACAAGAACAAAAGCCATGTCGTTTTATGCGATCGACAATTAACTGATCGTCACCTTTCAGGAAAAAACGGCCGTTGAAATGACGAGTGAGGTTTACAAGTTCAGATCGACTCAGTTGGTTGATTTTAACCACTGATTCTAAGGATCAATCTGAAGAGTAGTGCATAAGCTGAGCGGACATATCGTGAAGGTGCACAACTAGTTCTTAGAACATAGCCGCTAACTTCCACCGTCGAGGCGTGTGGAATTGGAGGTCTTATTATTGCGGGAAGAACCAATCGAAGCGTAAGCATTCAAATGCAGCACCCAATCAGCTGGATATAATCCACTTTGTTCAAGTGAGAAAAGCGCCCGCTGCCTCTAAATTGGTTACACTTTGCCTTCAAGATGCAGAAAGTGGTTGTTCTGAGGTATTATGAAGTAAGTGGAGGCGAACAGAATCACATCGGGAAAACGAAACACTTTGAACTCCCGAACTCGATTTCATCGGTCTACCAATGACGTCCTGCATACTGTCAATATGCGTTGAAAAATATAACTAACCAGCAATTATTGTTCAAATAGGCATCGAACAACAGAGCAAACTGAACGTTGGGCGAAAAAAGCAAGTACATTTTATGAAAACTGGTAAAGCGACCTATTCATGAAGGGAAATCTCGAAAGAAACAGCGATACCAAGCAGTTTTCCTTTGCCTATTCATAATGTTTACCTTGGCTTCATACAATGCGAGAATCTCGAGACTCATGTCAATAGAGATGTGAAGAAATTTTTAGAGTTTCTTTGGGCTCTCGGACATATATTGAGTCACTCTATAGACTATCCTATTATGACATTAACTTCAATTGCACGCTCTGGAAGTGTTACCTGGAACACAGGATAGACAATAACTGTAAAAACATAGAGGCAGTGATGCTGTTTGAAAAAAGCTTCAAGAGTTGATTGATCTGAAAGAATGATGAAGTTATGTAGTTAGCCTACATATGCAGCAGGAGTGTTTACACCCACAACTCACGGAACGGCTGGCAGTAATGCTCTAGAAATCTTCCAGTGATCCACGTCGTGATATAATTTAACCCTCTTTCTACTGAACAACACGTTTCAACTTCCTTAATGGAACCAAAAACCCCGACACTCCCTGATCACAATAATCTGAGATTGATAAGGGTATGCGTTCCGACGTTTCCAAAGAAGTTTCTAAGGTCGCCAATTTCTAAGGTCCAGAGGTACCAATTTCCCCGACCATCGTCTTCCTCGTTCAGGAAGAGAGTAATAGAGATTTTGAAATACATTGCACCAGTAAAGAGGTGAGCATCGAGTGGATCCAACCAAGGCCCTCGCGGCTATCCAAGAAATTCAAGTCATGTGCGTGTGATAGCTAGGTTTTGCTCACTGTGGTCACAGCTGAGGCACGCCTCAATAAGTGCTGCAATATTACTCACTGAGTGGGCCGGTTGAAACATTACACATATGCTCGCTGCTACATTTCATTGCTCAGAAAAAATACTATTTAGTGCAAAACCCCTACACATGGAAAGCTTAAAAGCAGAAGGTATTGGAATCATACATTTTCCATCACAGAAATTTCAGCATCGAGGAGTGTATGGAGAGCTCGATATTGAATAGCTGTTTGTCACTTCACATTTGCCAGAATCAGATTTGCCCAAAAAAGTCCGACTAACTATTTTTACCTCTGAAACACAATCCATTCAATAAGCACTATGGCGATCAGCCGTTACCGTTGGAAGCTTAAATTTTTAGTAATTGCAAAATTAAGACTTTCCGTACCGTTAAAACCTCATATCAAATAATAAGCGATCCCTTGTTGTCACAAAGAAAACGTGGCAAAAAACAAAGCAAAGCTAAGCATTGGAATGATGGAAGAGAGCAACACGACTGAAAGCAACATTCCTACTTAGAGGTTCTATTAACAGGTATGTTGAAGATAGGCAAGAGGTCAAAAAATAACTGAGTTCAGGGTACCATGAATTTTAGGAATTTAAATGTTCCGATTCTTGAAGTATTGTATGTAGGCACTTCCTTGCCGCCACAGTATCATAACTGTAATTAATATGGCACTTACGTCGATTAGCAATACGGTGGGAACAGCAGTTATAGTGATCGTTATCCACTGTAATTGTTCTCATACTCGAGGAAAAGCAAGCACTTCTTACGCACACCAAGCAATAGTTCTGTCATAATGATTGGATTGGTCGTAGGTCAACGTGGTAACTGTTGTTCAAACGATGAATGAAGCTAAGAAAGTTGCGATATAACACCAACGAATCAACTGATGTTTTCCAATTTGCCGAAACACCTTCAAAAAAATTGACTAAATTTGAAGCCAAGAGTGCAAAATTGTGTATACTCACAAATTTTCTGTAGGTTTCTGTATTTCAATCCCTTCAATTTAGCTTCTGCTTACATATTAATCATCTTTCATTTGATAAAAGTCGCTGGAAAGATGCTTGATTCCAGACATTATGGTTTTGTAAAAGATTCATTTCAGTTATCTACTTTTAACAGGATGCGAGACTTTTCCATGGGTCTTATGAATAATGGCCAATGATACCTGCGGTTACGTTTACATTGTTGCTTCATTTTCGAGTGATAATCCATGACAAATCGGCTGGACGATCTCGTGTGCATCAAACTTTAATATGTAGTCTTTCTTTGCCTGAAAATTTTAACATTGTTTAATACAGTTGGTCCACGAAGCAGCTCTATCTCGACAGCTTGCAGGAATAATCACCATTGGCGCCAGGGATTTTTCCTCATTACTCACTGAGAACGTCTCCTTTGTGTTCGCTTTATTTGAGCATAATTACGGAGGTCTGTCACTCAAACTGTCTTCACTGCCACTCGCCTACAACCAGAAGGCATCGTCGCCTGAGCGATAGCCCCTTCTGAGGGAATGAATGAGCGCCGAGAAACTCTTCATGGCCCTAATTGGACAGATCTCCGATGACTCTCCTCAAGGCATCAAGGTAGCCCATTTTATAACCCCGCTCATGACCGTGCAACATAGTTCATCTTTCCCCGCTCACAGTATTCCATGCATTCAAATCTAGCAGACAGTTTGAAAAGCCTACATACAGCGTACATAAGGGTGAAGCTGTACCATGTGAAGGGCTTCTGAGACGATTTTCTTTCTACGAGCAGGTGATTTTGTTCTATCACAATTGCTTCTTTTGCGGAAAAAATCTCTTGACCAACACCCTACCGGTTACTTTATATGGATCACTTTTCCTCATTAAGACGTTCTCAGGTATCATGGTTCTAGAAAAAAAAGTCGGTACCCAACCTTGCCAGTCCAACTTTCAGCCATAGGTATTTGCGCTACAAACAGGCGAGGCTTTTGTATCGTTATTTAGTGACTGAAATTCAATCATTAACGATATGCTTACTGTAGCCGATGAGTTACACTCAATCCTTCGACCACAGCAAATAGATAAAATTGAATACGCTGAAAGTAATCGGTCCTCCTAATCGTTTTAATCGTGTAAGTGATATACCAACTGAAGACTATCGCTGTGACCTTCGAGCCAAACTTTCTGATCTATTACTTCCACTTCACACTATACCAAGCTTATTGGGGGAAATTCTACAGCATGTCGCTTACATTTCGATTTTTAACAACATAAATCAACAGTCAACGGTTTTTCTGCGAATACTAGTTAATGGCTTAACCATCTTCGCAAATACAGCTCTGAGTAATGGCATTTCTTCCCGTTTCCTTTCATGCGAAATATGTGTAGATATATGGTTGTATCATGAAATTCTGTGGAGCTGATTCACATTCATCTTCTGCTAGTAAGGCAGTGTCAGGAAGATTTGAGCAAAAAAACTTCAGTCCATATCACAATAATAATGCGATATGAAGGCTCAATTGGTGGTATTCATCGATAAAATTGAATGAAATGAATCCTTTAATCATCAATTCCCCATTGTACGCTGATTGCTCATGCGACAGTATGCCTAATTGAATCGGGATATAAATTGTAACTTATCCTCTCGTCACGCCAACGCCGAGCCCTTTCGAGCTAAAGCCGAATATGGGATTAGTTGTGTCGAATTTGGACGAGTGGCGTAATTGGGACGTCTACGATTGTTTCCGCGAATGTGAGGATGACACGTATTAAGCAGATGACCAATAGTTTCAAAACCACAGCCACTAACAGATCCAGCTTTTACCTCAGGTTTTTGCGGGTTGCCTTCCTCTTTATTTTGCGTCTACGCATACATCTTATTTTCAAATTCGTACTTGGGTTTGAATGCTGATTTACCTTTCACAGTGATATGAAAGAGATAGCCGATGTGCGACTAAGTGACCTTGACTCTTTAGGCGATCTGGTACCAATTAAACGATCCCAAATGGATAGAAGGCTTGACTGGGGCAGATCGGCATCGCCCGCAACAAGATTGGATTTCCGGTCAAAACGAGCGATAGCGAAAGACTGGAACATCCTCAATTTCGGCTTTTCAATGGAGTAGAACTTAGGAAGCGGAGTATTTGAAATTGGAACGGTGAGGATATGCACAGAATTTAATCCTCAGTTTTGCAATTTCATCAAGTGATGTGAAATTATCAAAAACGAATGAGCTCCACATGAGCTGTGGCCACAAACAATTCCATCAGAAAATGTCTCACAGTAGTTGAGAGGATAAAAGGATCAAGTTTCGTGGCGGTAGTCAATCCCGTCTGTGGGATGCGCCCACGCATTCGACTTCCATTCAAAATCGTAGTGGCGTAATGAATGAGTATGTGGCCTATGGCCTATACAAGACACGTAAGTACCAATGTACAAGTCAGTGCTTTTATCCTCCGGGCGAGTTTTACAAACTACCGACCGACCCGGCGGGACGTAAGGTTTGGTTGGCCTGGGCGATACCGATCCGGCGAAATCAGTCAAGAACAGTGATGTAGCTTCCGAGAAGAAGCGGTAAAGGAGAGCCCACACACACGCTTGTTCTAGGACTTTTACTTCGGAGGCTGTAGCATAAGAAGTGAGCCTTGCAAGTCTCGCTGGATTTGATGTTTGAAATGGTGAAGGGAAATATGTATGTAGGAAGGAAGGAAGGAAGGGCAAGGAACCAACCGAAATACTTGGGATCGCACAGTCTCAACTTTCAATGGCAATAAAAACCTACGACTATTTCGTCGAGCCTTATAAAGTAGAGAAGACTGAATTAATGCTAGGTATCTTCAAATGGGATACTGTGCCCCACCCAGGAGACCTTGCAGCTTACATTTTCCACTTACTCCTAAATTTATAGGGCGATTTACGTGGCAAAATAGTGTACTCTACGACTGTTTACGAAAAGTGATGGGAGAGTATTTTGCAAGGGCAGCGACTTCTAGGGAAGGAAGGGAATCGTTGAATCGATCCGAAAAGGCGACATTGAATCGTAAATAATAAACTGTACTGGGATGGTTGTCATACGCACCCATTCTTATTAGATTCCCATTCTTATAGAGAACTGCTGTCGTGGCAACATACTTCTTACTCTTGGAATGAACCGACATATTGGAAAAATGCAGTGCCTTTCTAGAATGTCGTTTCTTCCACAAACAGTTCACTTAGTCAACAAAGTAGGCCTGCTTAGCACAATTTTTTGAATACTAGCCTGCTTTTCTTAACAAAAATTCAAAACCTGATCGGACTCGCCCCGCAGAGAAAAGTAGAGAGAAATCGTTAATGACAGTCTGAGCTTCGTGCCACTTCAAGTACGCGTTCGAGCATTTGTTATGTTATGTTTATTACGCTGCTATGGCAAACGCAGTATAATGATGATACCAACTTTCCGGAACCAACTCACTCAAATAGTAGAACAAATTTGGTCAGTTTACCACGGATGCAAGATGTGGATGGCTCCCACATGAAATGACCTATTCGTGGAGCTATCCTCAATTTCAGCGGATTGAGAGTTATGTATAAGACGGCCCATTTCCCCACTTGTGTACCTATGGTAGCGAATAAACCGATAAGAGCCGAATGACAGCTCCCTCGCTTATCATGCCCATTAACTATCAATCGATTATTGGAACCAAAAACAATGTCTACTTCGGAGACATTTAATAATATAGCTTTATTTCCGTTTACAACGAATTCATCACATTTCCATAGCCAACTTAAGTAAAAGCGCTTTTGAGCTAGAATAATATCATTGGCGCACGGAACGTACCAATGAACTTTCGTTCTGCATTTTGAGGAATATTTCAGTTTCAAGGCATTCAACCAGCACTATCTTACAAAATGCCGAACGTGTTCAAGGTGAATACAAGCCAGAGACGATTTTTCACATGCTGCGGTAAACTACACGTAAAGGTTGGCAATCAATCGCCCTTGTAAAAGCCAATTTTCACTGATCAACTTATCCACTCATTCAAATATTTTTTCCTATTTAAGCAATATAAGACAATAGGCTTATATCTGCAAAGAACAAGATCTAGAGTTTTTTACGCACATCACCATCTTTCTTTTACAACATATTTTTCAGTGGCTAAAAGTGAACTATTTTGTCTCATTTGTTTGTTAACTATGCCTTACTTTACTATGTTGAAGATGAGCCCTTCATAATAGCAGTATTTTACATACAAGTACATAGGGAAAGCTAGACTTCCTAAACAAGAAAGAAAGTAATTCGTTTGGGTTTTTTATATTGAAATTAATTGGAAACTGCCCTAACTCTAAGAGCTGGCTTATTTCTGGTGGAACATTCATCAGTTTCAGTTAGCATTCCTTCTTATAATAGCGATCACGATTGTGGCTGAAGTTTTGGAGACGCTATCATACGTGATGAACGGTTGGTCGGAAGGAATGAATCTTCTTGCTTATGCCCTAGAAGTGAGTAGTGTTTCATATAAATTTACTGCTAAACATAGTAAGCATACAATAATATATCTGAAACATGGATGATCAATCGGTTATTGCAGTCTTTAGACCATTTTTTTCAGGTTTGGGAGTATATTGTGACACTAACAATGATACTCGCCCTAGTACATGAAAGCACCTTCTTTCTACTGCCATATATCGGTGAAATGGTAAGTCAACAACCACCACCTGTCATAGGTCTGTGATTTTGTACAATAGTGATGGCCATATTTCCTATGAATGAAAGGAAGTTTAGTTCATTGTTGTAACAATGATGCTAATATTGGTATTTCAACTTCTATTCTGTGTCGTGGCTCCGTATTCTTCGACTGCAGAACAATTATTTGTCGATGGCCGTTACACGTTGTGGCAACGGGAGAAAAAAAGTAAGGCGTATTTCGTTCACAACCGATAGACTTGAACGTGGAAAACTTCCATAATGTGAGAATGTCTCACCATACATGACAGGCATATTACATCGGTGCCTTCGACTATCTTCAGGCAAATTTCTTTTCGGATCGTCCAGCATTAAGAATGGGAAACCCAGTGGTAGAAACATACTATATAAAGTAGGAGCGATGCTGGCGAGTTGATATTATAGGCAAAACACATTGAGAAAGCTCCACAATGTGACATTCTGCCTGATACCTTGACAGTGAGAACCTATAAAAGGTGAGTTCAGCCCCTGCGCGATGTTTTTAGAACCTTCACTAAACAACCAGGCCCGATGCACATGGCAATAATAACCAGCACAAACTACGATTATGTCGTGGGCACGATGGCCAGTATAACTAGGATATACAAGTTTGGTAGACGGGCGCTGAATTTTATGAAAAGGATAACGCAAGGGGCAAGTGAAAAGGATAACAGAAGTAATAGAAACCCCTGAAACAATCATGAACCACTTTGTGGGACTGATCATATTTCCGGTCAATTTTGGGATATACCAGAATAGGGATTATAGACTTTGTGAATCATACAAATATGAAGAATTGAAAAAGTCCATCAGTGAAAAACTTCGAAGTAGCTTAAATGAAGCCCTAGGTTTTGTCGTTGATTCAAGATGTAGAAATTTTCCGACTTGTTCTCTTCTAGGTAGAGGTTCAGTTTGGCACTGTAAGCACACGTATCTCTTACGCTAGCTCGCAAGATCAGACAGTTCATAAAACCAAGCATGCTTTAGACCGCTCGACGACGGGAGACGGGCATTAGGAACGGTCCTGTGTAATCGATACGCCGCACGCGGCTGTCGCGGACTATTTGCCTCGTTATAACAGTTCTAGCGTTCTTCATACAGCTCAATCGCTATGTGATTACTGCTTATGGCATGATTCTACTATTGCTTCTTTTGTTCCTGTATTTCTTACTAGCTGCTGCATTCTGCTACATTCCTTCGCGCGCAGTGTCTCCTCACCGCGACGCGACATTTTCGTTCCTACTGCACCACACCCCTCGACGACTATTCATTAAAGGGACGACTGCTATAAGGCTTTTCGATGAATACCAATGACTATCAATCTATAGCACTCAGTTTTCACACCGGTTTTCTCTTTCGGGCCACTACTTCAGTTTCTAGATACCATTTCCGGTGTATAAGTCTCCCTCAATGATGAATTACCTGTATCGATTTGGCCCAAACACAGTGAACAATGCCCAGCTTCTTATCTTTTTTCTTCTTTTATTTTGACTAATATCTACAAAGTCTATTATTCAGTAATACTTGTTTACTTGCACGTAGGATACTCTGTCGAAAAAAAAAACGAAAATCGTCAAGTTGTGCCGCAATAAACCCTGTCAGAATTGTGCAAGAACGTTATTTTTCAGTTTTCGCAATTCTCGTATTCGTTGCGTTTTTTACTGGTGTAGCAATGTGGTTTCTGAATGTCGGGCTGTCAACTTACACATACTTCGACTATATTGCTCACAAAAAAAATAGACGGCCTACACGTCTTGGTGATGAACCAGTAAGTTCCAGTGCTTCTGATTTACTGTTATATTATTTACTTCCACAGGCGTGATCCTCTCTTGTCTCTGCTTATTAATTAGTGCGAATATATACTATCATCAGCGGAGCTGTTACCGTTCGCATGGTACGGGTATTCAATTTCAATTCCTATTTCGTCTATGTCAATCGAGCCTTCTCCACCTTCGTAGCTGGTGACCAGCTGTCATCACATACATCCAGTTGCACAACTGCCAACTTGTGCGCTTACTTGTTCCTGCAGTTCATTGTACAGGCCGAATACCCATCCGAACGCAACTTACGATCGTGAACGGGTTCTGAGTGTAGCCACTCAAAGGAATAGATGGTGACGAGCAACTGATTCGCCACCTCTCGTTACATCATTTTTCCAGGCTCCAGCCCTTGTTCAATCGGATGCTCTTTCGCGCAGTTCTGCTGCAGTGACGATATCATTCCCCAACCCGAACTTCAGCAACAACTCCGATGAGGACGACGAGGTTTTCGACAGAGGAGTCCACCCACCAGTAGCTACTGTTTGAGCACCTTCAGCGTCTTGCTTGCTCATGTTACATTGAGATAATTGCTTCTGTACCGTTTCCAAAAGATTAAATCTAGTTACGATCCAGCATTTGAGTCGAATAAAATTGACTTATTTTCGCTCTGAAAAGTTGCAGACTTTTTTCCTACAATGCCATTTCCGTCGTGGTTCCTACAGGATCATTATCAACTAATCATATCTGTTAGCTCTGGTATTATTGTGTCTGCCGTCTGACTTTGTCATGGCTACTCGGCAGTTAATCGGTAGAAAACGATATAATTTGTATATTCAAGAATACGTTCACCGAGCAGCTGCCCAACAACTGCAGGCTTATTGTTAGACGAAGAGATAAGCACTGTGTGTGGCAACCGCAAGTACAGTAAAATTTCTATTCATGTTTTCTTTTCATTTTTGCCCCTTTTATGAGACAGTGATGGATACTGTGTGAGGGTCACAAAGTAATTTAGAAGAAATTCGAAGTCGCGTTGTGAGCGGCAGGCGCCATTTCTACCCATACTATTTCTGTGCTGTGTGCTAATCGATTTGCTGTACCCTTATTTGCTTAACGTTTTTTTTTTGACCAGATATCTCCAATTTTCTCGAGCTGATTCAGGCGTATACAACAACAGTATACATGGTAGATGCTCCGTGATAAAGCAAAATACATTTTTTTTCAAATTCGTTTCTTCTTCTAAGAAGAAGCAGCTCCTTTCCTTGTCGTTAAAACAATTGGGAACAGAACTCTTTCCGGGCAGACGCACTATGGCTTCCCTTGTTCACTTTGATCTTATACGTTAGACAAGATTTCCGATAAATTTCTACAATTTGTATATTTGTATACTATCCGTACTACTCCCGAACTGAACGACATAAGTTCCATCTCCTGCTCATGAACTGCGTAGTACACCCCAATCGTTGTATTCTGTTCACCGTGTCACGTTGCTAAATTAGTAACTGCATGACCACTTCATTCAATATCGAATGTGCTGTTAGGCATAGCAACAGTCAGTGGTCGCAATTAGCCATTTCAGTGGTAGAACCACATAATTTGCTTATCGTTGAGGTAGAAGCTTTTTAAATCATAGTCATACTAGAATTCTTCAATGCCTCGATGCTGTTCAAACGAATTCTCGACGATGCAAATTTATCCGATAGTTTTACCATAATGACACACACACATATTATGGAAGATTGCTTTCACGAAAAGGAAAGCCGATGCCCTGTTAACTCATGGTAAAAGACACGCATATGACGGCAAATTGAACAATAAATCACAATAAGCAAGGTAACCGGCAAGTATTATCGAATAACTCAACACTGAAAATTCACGCTACTTTTTTTCTAGATAAAATAGATGGAAAGTGAATCGAGGGGGAAGTTCTGTGCTGATGAAATGGCCACTTCTCGAATCTTTCGATTACAGAATCTTCAAAAAGAATTCAATCTGATTACGCTCCTACACATTTCTCATGAAACTAGCAATTCTGTACAAGACAACTGAATAGTAATCGAATTCAAATATTACCAACACCTAGGACTGAATCCTAAAAGGTCATCCATGAATGTAAAATAGGAATTACGAATGATGGGAACGTCTTCATAAAATCCGTAGATCCTTCGATAATGAATGGTAAAATCCTAAGAGCACAAGTCAATAAACGTTAAAATAGAGGTAGAAAAAACTGCCACATACGGCTTTCTATGAACCTCGGCATAATTGCTCTGATGCTGAATTGTTTTCTTGAACTCTGGTTCGGCGGAGTCGCCTTCTTCAGAGCCTGGAAAGACCTGAAGGAAGGAAGGCGACTCCGCCGAAACGTCAGCCTAATAAAGCTTATATACAAACCTCGTGAAGAGTTAAAGAAAACAATTCAGTAACAGAGGTCGAAAACTTTTGAAACATAGCAGAAAAGGTCTTTGAAATTTGCATTTATATTAAACTAAGCGTATTGAAAGAAGGAGAGTATCGGTCAGACAAACCTGAGCAACTAGGTGTCAGGACCAGCATTTTTGCTTATGTCGGTACCATTTCTCTGCACAAGCAGCTCGACAATGAAACTGTAGACATTGAAATTTTGCCATATAACGAGCACAGCAACAAGGCAGCAAAGAAATACACCCGCTTTATTCCTGAACCGGAAAAACTCATTCAAAAATGAACAGGTACACTTAACAGCTGATAGTCAAGAAACTAAGCAGAAATGTTTAAATAGTAAATTTGGAGAAACGTAGCAGACCTTGTACCAAAAAACGGTAGAAATAAATCGAGAACAGTCGCAACAAGGTACAGAACGATCTTGAGAAACTCTACCTAAAATTCATTACTGACAGAGTGATATAGCCGGTCCTAGGAAACAAATAACTTACGACAATATTAGCACTGGAGAGGAATACGGCATTGCCCCAAGCTGGTCCTGATAGCCGTATATCCAATGTATCTTTGATAGAGTTCTCCATACGTACTACCTTAACCCGATATTGTTAAAAAGAATGAAACAAAAAAATTGAAAAGGCCTCAACTGACAACTCACATGGTTCTCGACTGATTCGACACTTTCCTCCACCCTCTTAAAGCGATCATTATATTGATAATCTAGCCGATTGGCGATACCTTTCTGTTCCTGTTTCAGAGCCTTAAAAATGCAATGATATGAACTTAACATAAAAGGATGCTAAGTTAAGCCTTGACCCTTTGAATACGCGACAAACCTGAAACTCTGCCTGATGTAGTTCAATTGTTTCGTTCATCGTTGTTTCCAGTCTCTGCAAAAAAAAATCATTCAAGGCAGTTAAGACTAGTGCCACGAAAAGGAAATGTCACATTCCTAACAAATCCTCACCAGAAATTTTCCTCGTTCTTCTTCTAGAGCACGAGTGACATAGGCCAACTCAGAATCCAGTCGATTCTAAATAGGGGTTACCGAACAAATTCCAGAACATGAGATAAAGGATCCACCTCGATCCGATTGATCTGCTCGCCCATCTTCGTTATAAGGTACCGAAGACCTCGAAGATCTTCTAGAAGCTGATGTGGTATTTCATCTGATTCTGCCGTGAGCGCAAACGGAGGCAAAGGGGCTAATGGTGACATCCGGATTGAACAATTCGACTAAATTTGAAAAATAAGAAGCCAGAAAAGGAATTTTAAAATTTTGAGGCGGTAATCTGAAAAAAAAAACAAACACTGCAGATCAGAAAAAACCAGTAATGTTCCCAAGTCAGGGAGCAAATAAAAACAAATTAGTCGACACAAAAGCAACTACCACTTCAGATTCGACTTTTAACAGTGGATCGGTCAATCCTGATGTATCAACATCTCGAGACCTTGATGGAGTAGATGACTTCACAAGGGAAGAATTTGCGGGAAGAGAATCCGACTTCCTTGAAGTATATCTGAATTTTGAATACAGCGAAGAAGCTACAGAATCTTCTACAACCTCAAGCCATACCTGTTCGTTAGCACCTGATGAGGGCTCCCGTAATCGGAACATGCATAAAATTTAGAGTGACCTATTTGTAAATCAGAATGCGATGCTGAAAAGTAAAAGAACATACAAGTATTACATTAATCCCACTCTCATTTGCCACATTCGACCGTAAATCACTTCAAATACAAATGAAAAGCACACGTGCTTATTAATACTAACAAAGGTTAGCGCTGAGAAAAGGTATTCGGATCTACTCCCAAGTAACAAACAAACAAGACTAATATGTGGACAAAATATACCGTCATTAGGATCGTTAACATTGTCAGCAGATCCAAAGGTACTTTTGAGACGCTGAGCAAATTCTAGAGGTGCAGCCATAACGGTTTCAGTCATTCCCTTTAAATTCGCACCAGTTCTTCTGAAGAGCTTCACATTATGACTTGAGCACCACAACGATATCCAAACTGAAGGAAGAGCACATAAGCATACCTAATTCCTTGACCCACTGTTGACATAACAGTTGTTCTGCTTCCAGAATCTATACCATTTTCAATTTCAACCAGACGTTGTTCATAAGTGGCAAGCTTTCTCTTCAAAGGAAATAATAACAGTAACGAATTCGTACAACTTCTTTCAGACGAGCTTATGGAAACTCGATGAAGTGAAACTTTTCAGCATAATATAATGAACCTGCAGTTGTTCCAGCTCATTAGTATGCCGCTTATTCTTCTTTTCAAAGTGCTGCTTCAAGCGTGCCATTTGCGGATTGTCAGCACCTTTCTGACTTTCAGATCCTTGCGTCATCATTAGGAACTCTTCGACATCTCCTGTAAATACAGACCTAATTCATTTTCATCTGTTAGAATTGCGGTCAATGAAATCTGCATTTCTCCACTCACTTTCTCTTTCAAGACTGGTACGCTTTAAACGTTCCCGTGCTAATTCAATTTTTTGCAGCAATCTGAGACGTTCACGATCGTCTCCTCCGGGAGAGCCGCTTGCATCCTCCTCTGATGATCTCACACTGCTACGTTCCCCATCGGTTGGCTATAAGAAGAATTCCTATCAAGTGTACTGTTAAGACAGAAAAACTGTTGATTTCTCCTATAATTTCTTAACTAATGATTATCGCTTCTGTTCCAGTACGTTTTAGCAAATCACAGCGATGTAAACAGCACAACAAACTGATACATAAGCAGAGAAGCTCTCCGGTCTAACCTCATTGAATGATAAATCCTGCATCGATTAATCGATGAGGCGACAGAGAACACACAATGCAATGTCCAAGAGGTGGCAACAGCGAGGCTCGCCGAAGAGGGAAACACTGTCTATGAGTACAAGCTCGAAGGTCGACACTGATAAGGCTGATAAAAAACATCTGTGCAATTTGAACGGAACTGCAAACAGTTACGGTCGTCATTAGGTATATTCAGTAGTGAGAACTTTTACAAGTCAATAACAAGAACGACATTACAGTAATGCTTCATTATAGATAATTGCAGAGAGCATTATATACACAACGCAATGCCGTCTTTCACTAGCATTCAAAACATTCACGAACTCGACTCGCTCATCCCAGTCCCCTACCAAATGTACCGGATTACATTAACTGATAACGATTTAAGCACAGCTAGAATTTTGAAATGCTAAGCGCTTGCATAGGAACTTTTCGTCAAAAAAAGTAGCAACAAAACACACAACACATATAGCACGGATAGCTCTGGAAAACAGCATCTTAATCGATATGATCAACTTTCAGTCGAATATACTTCTCAATACATTGGGACAATAGAAATAAGCCATTAGCTGCGAGAAAGAACTTTAAACAATTACCCATATAGCCATACAAAATCATTTCCGGCAAAGAATTAGTATGAAAGCAGCAGAACAACTGCTACAGTTTTCGAAGAAATCATAGCAATGTTCTCTCAAAACCATCTACTCGGCGTCTTCCAAGCTGAGACACATTCAGGTTATCCTCAACTGTGATTGTCGGACAGTCCAGATCAGCATTACCAGTGTCTGGAGCGATCAATGCATTCGATGATCCACGATTCACAACGCCTTCCAAGAGGCCATTCTGGGTCAGTCTACAAAGCAGATCACTGGCAAGACCTTTACATTTCAACATTTCGAGCAGAAAGACTCGGTAGAAGTCGGAACACAGAGATCCTATGTTAAACTTCTACATCACCCGCAGTTATACCGAGACATACATATCGATGAAAAAACATCAAGCTTCGAAGGATTCCCACCACCCCCACATTTCCTAAGATTCTACCAAATTCTGTCAAATAAACGAAGCTCTCACGTAGCTATTTCAGTTCTATCCTCCTTTTTTCTCTTATTGCTTTATTTCAACCGCGGATAACCCAATATGTCCTACAAGAAACCCAACTTGAGCTCGATTCCATTTAGAGTAGCTCTCTAGGGAATCGTCCTATAATATTCAATTCCACATTCTCAAGCAAGCAATTGAAACCAAGTTTTGCGGCACCCATCTGTTTTCTAGGAGAAAAATAAAAAGTTCGTCACAGGTTGCCGTTGAAAACGAAATGCACAACCACATGACCATCCTTAGTTGTAGGCATTCCAAAGTACCCAATAGAAGAAGCACTATTCAATGAAGGGTAAGCCAAACTCAGATGGGGAAAATTCATAGCACTTTCACCACGAAACCATAATCCCGAACGAATTATCGTATTGTAAGTTGTGAGATAAAGAATGGTAAAGATTACGAAATATCCTCCGTGTCATCAATGTCCTGGTTCAGCTTCAGGTAAGGATTGGCAGGTTGTGGACGGAAAAGAATCCCCACGAGAATGAAAAATATAAGAGTAGATAGTTCAACGACAGCATCGGTGATCCATTCTTGATCGAACGGAAGCGCATACTAGAATGATGATTACTTAGAAATGAGCGCCAACAAATGAAATAAAAATGAATATGAGCAGCAAACCTGTAGAAGCAGTTTCATAACTCTTGTAAGATAGACATACGATATAACAATCATATAGAAATGACGGAAGAGACGAAGTTTTTCGAGATTGAATGCAGCTTTACCATCGCTTCGCGCACCTTCGGACAAATGGTGCATAGACCTGAGTTTCTAGCTTGATATCACGTCTAGTGAACTTCACCGAGTTTCTTTGTAGAAAAATGTACCAAATTATAGGGAATATTATCAGGAAACAGCAGACCATGTCGATGAAGACAAACATTTCAAACCATAACTGGTACCCTTGCTGACCAAACTCGCTTTCTTCCAGTATCACCATGGCGATGTTGTCGACGATCTGCATCATAAAAAAGGATACAAATACAACAAACAAAAACGCGACACTATTCACTAGGAAACCACACACAGCTTCACTATTTCACTTCATGGATATAATAATGGTAAAAAAATTTCAAGTTCAATTAAGGCCTTGAAAGGCAGACATTGTCATCGTAATGCAGTAGCAACGATTGAAATAATACGACTCAAAAATTCAAAGAAATGGGACCGATCTGACAACTGAAGTGTTCGAAAGCAAATACCAGACCAGAAACAGAAAAGGGGCGAGAAAAATGTGAGTTCAACCTGTATTCCGTATTCGTCATTCACAGAATAGGCAACATAAGTGAATAAAGACTACCTTACGTAGAAATGGAGTGAATAAAAATTTATAATAAAACAAATAAGTAGTTAACCATACCTGAAGGGGCAAGACCACCATAAAAACTTTTCTGTCACGTTCTGTGAGGAAGTTTTTGAAGAACGTGTATCCCGTTCCAATCAGTATAATAGTACCAAAGAGAAGAGCACCTTTCAGCCTCAAAGAGAACTTAGTGAACTGAAGTGAAGGGAAGCGGGAATTCTCAGGCAACTCACAAGTGAGTGATGTAATAAACAACTGCCCAGATCTCACTCTGTTGCCCATATTTACTAACGAAAAAGTAGTTAACTCCATGGAAGAAAAGTGATGCAGCTTTCAGAAAAATCAGAGCTGTCATTAAACCATGTACTCGATAGACATTGGCATGGCTATAATTATATGAATTGTCACCGCAGATTTCAAAACTGTTCAAGTAGCATACTTCCAACGATTCTGTGAACACCACCACGAACATACCTGGATAAACACAATAATCTACACCAAAGCGCAGCGGAAAGAACAAAGGCAAGTGAAACGTATATGAACAGTTGAGGTTTTGGTATATCTCCAGCGGAAAGGAACGAGCCAACATTTCGTTCGACGATCCATACCGTAAAATCGACCGCGACTCGGTCACTAAATGCTTCAAATGCTGCTGCTTTGCAAGCTGTGAGGTCAAATATTAGAGGAACTGCTTAAATGTACCTGTATCCATGGGCACGATAGTTAAAGCAGTTGTGATAGATGAAGTGATAGTTTCCGCGTAAATCGTAGGGAAAACGAATGGATATCTGAATGACACTCGTCTGCGTTGAATTAGTCATAGCACTTCAGCTTACGGAAATGTAAAAACGAATTATACTAAGAACACTTACATTGGCAGAGTACAATAAATCCTTTTGCTCCAAAGGTACAAAATCCTTATATGGTTTACCCGAGTCTCCACCAGAAAGAATTCGTTTGAACTTGTCCAGCCATCCCTCGCCGTCACGACGGGTTCGTACCTTCAGAAAATGATCAGAAAACAATGGAAAGGTACTTTGAATAAAATACGTGGTACAACGTGATACTCAGCAAAACGAAAGTGAAACAACTAACCGGAGGCAGAGGTGAACCGTTATCTACATCATCATTCACCGGCTCCGCAACATTTGCGTCCCTGGCACATCTAGAAAGATTTGACCAAGATTTATCTTATTGAATGAGGCTAGTTAGATCTGTAGAAGGAAGTAATCTTCAGTAACTGTTGTCATTAGCGTCGTATATTATGACACCCATTTGAGAACCCTGAAGATGGGTTCTTAATGGCTCGCGTGTACTTTTGAGAGACTACTACAAGTTCGGTCAACTTGAAGCGTATAGGGCACGACTATTACCTCTCGAAGCAAAATTCGTGGTCGAAATCGCTCTTAAAGGCGCAGTCGATAGAAATCTTTGTTGAAGATACCAAATTGAAGGAAAAGGCGGTTAGAGAATAGGCGAAGCAAAATTATAAATTTGGATAAGCACAGGAACGTGAAATAAAGCTTACTCTTCGTGGGACGAACAGAGATGGATATACTTTCCAGCTCCCGATCGAAATACACGCAAACGTTTCTGGGGAAGATCCGCGAAGAAGAAGAGGGCATCGAAACCCTGATCGGTCTGCTGAAAAAGGAGTTGACAATGTTTTTCTTCTCGAATGCAGTGAGATTTTGTCTGAATTCTGAGAATAATCGATGTGAGCTAAAGATGTATAAAACTCAAAAATACGGATGCGCACCCAACTTTGACGTTTGGAAAAGATGTAATCGGGTGACATATCAAATGAATAGATTGAAGTTAAGTATGCTGTCTTTCCCTTTTCAAAGCCGGAACAAAAACTTCTGCAAAAGCTATGGAAAGCTATCATTCAAGTATTACCTGTAGTTGACAAACATGAGGATTGGATCCAACTCCTGAGGCGATTGAATTACCACGAGACAATGAAAACCCGATCACGCCCTGAACGTTGCGTTCGGATATGTCCGAAAATGAACTTCAAAGCAGAGACCACACCGATTTGTCAGCGTTCTCTCTAGAATCGACTTTCTCGAGGATTGTTTCCGGAACCGTGAAATTGATGAGTACGAGATCAAACGTGCCACCTTCTGCATAACCGAAACTCGTCAGCGGAATATTTCTGCGAGCATCTCCCTGAAAATGCCCCTTTCATTCCCTAAAAATAGAAACACAATTAGGCACTAGTGTAAGAAAAATCAAGGTCAACCAAGTATTTGAAAGGGGCCAGAACTCACCCTTAAGGTAAGGTGATGAATCTTGGTGGAGGCGAAATGCAAGCAAGAAGCCAAAAGAACTAATACATGCATTGCCTACCTCCACCAGGCAAAATTACTCCTAAATAAATGTCTACTAACTGAATAAAAACAGAAAGAAATAACCTTGAATTATTAATTTAAGAGATATTGAAACAACTCTGCTCAATAAGTGGCACAGATCCGATTACAGTACACATGCAATCTTCGGAGGACCGCTATAGCTGTCCTTTAGCTGAGCCGTATGGCGACTCATCTCGCCTCATGGCCCGGCGGTCTAAAGCGGCAAGGTGTTTTTGTGGATTTTATACCTAATGAAGTTTGTGTTGACTTTGAAATATGCATTATTCAAGAAGCGTCTTCTTTCATAAAGACTGAATCCCTAAACTTGCGTATGTTTTTGAGTTCTCACTTTGTGTTACGAGTTTTTCTCTAAAGATCACTTGGCTATAGCGCATATGTCCCTTCACATTATGTGCCTTTAATCGGGCTTATTGCGGTTCCATTCATTCTGTTGGAGGTGGTCAGTGTTTCCAGCCATGGAAACTACTCCTTCCGGATGCCTCCCGAAATATTGGGTTCCTGCATTTCACTTGCAACTGATGACCACGCAGTAGGTTCCAACGGCTTTGTGCGACGATAATGTACCCTTGACAGTGACTGCTTATATTAGGATTCGTTCAAATATTACTTTTATATTTTGAACGAAAATGACGGCAGTCGTAATATTTGAAGTTGTTCCACTGTATCGTGTATCACACTATGATGTTCCTCTGACTTTCCCCAATCTGATAGCTGGTAGCTACGGTGGACGCTCTGAGTTACCCTGCATATATCGGGAGTGTAGGTGTGTGTGCGTGTGCCAAAGGTATGCACAGGCCTTCTATGACTCCAATTATCGATTGGTTCGCAGGTCGGTGTACCTCACGCTACAGATCTGTACAGGTGCACTGCATAACTAGTTCTAGTGTACTATCTGCTGGCTCTCATTGTTCCTATTGTTCATCATGCTATTGTATCAACATATTTCTCTTCTAATCGTTCGTTCTAAGTACACCTTCTGTTAGGGATCAAATACTGGCCTGAGGTTATTTACTGCTTCCAATGCAGTGATTATCAGAGTTTTCAATATTTGATCTTCGGAAGGTTTTCTTTTGCTTCGTGGCAATAGTCTACTGAATTAAGAAAAGGTCATTAAGTTTTTTTTCAAGTAACACAAAAAGTGTTATTTTTTTCTCAGTGATTATGCTTGGTTTTTGATAATAGCTTGCAAGTAGGTGATCGACCTAATGGTTATTTGAAACCATAGCACATTCCTTGGCTACATCATAGCAACCATTCGTATAGCGTCAGAAACTTTTACTTTTTTATTGGTAGTAGCTGGTCATAGCAATTTTGTGTGCCGCTTTCAACGTGATCGATTTTATTCCCAAAGAGCATTCTTTGCGTTAAGGATGCGCTGTTGATCTTTGCTGTTGCATTAATTGCAATTTTTACCTTACTTTTGAAAAAGACAATATTCTTTCTTTACACCTCATAATTATGATGGTTTCACAAGGATTTCAGTGTATCTGGACAAACTTGTTACAACTGAATCGAATTCAGTTGAAGTATGATAATCTGCGACGGCGCAATGAACCCGTACGCGTGGACGAGTTTTTCTACTCACTGCAATCCGCATTAATCATCAAATTATTCAGCTTCTATTTTTGTAGTGTTGCATACTTCCACGCGTTGTGCTTGGAATATGGCCCTACTTTTATATTCCATTTCTGACTTTTGTTGATCAGTGAGCCCGTAATTGGCTTTTGCTATTTGCGTCGATGCGCCATTTTTTTTTCTTTTCTTTGCCTTCTGCTTGACGTTGATCGATCGAAAACTAGTTTTTCATAATGATTTGTAACATTTTATCTCCAGTATATGAGTAAGATACATTTTTAGATTGGTATTTGCTTCTGAATCTTTTAACTTGTGTGATGTGAAAAGGAAAAGTGCAGTTGAATGTTTCCTAGCTACACCGATCAAATCTATCTTCCCTTTCTCGGATAGGATGCATTTGGATCAAATTAATTAGATCTTTTTGCGAACGTTGTCATTCTTATTGCTTTCACCCTTCGTATCACTAGTGTAAATAGGGTGTGGTTCAGTTGGGCATTTAGTCCTGTTTAAAACAGTGATGTTGACCATCACACAAAAATCTTCATTAAAATATTTAAAAAGCGCCTTTTCGATTTCCAAAGGTCCCTTCTTCGCTCTGGTTTGTGTTCTGCTTTACTTGTCAGCAACTACCTGAACATTTCACCACGTTTATCTCTAAGTAGAGCTTCTTATCATTCATTGTCGTTTTTCGATGTGTTCTTGATATGTGATTTTTCTTGTTCTACCTGTGGAACTTTTGATATCCCAAAGAAATAAAGCGATGCTCGATTACGAGATTTGCTCGACAGTCTTATTCCCAAAGCGTTTCTCGTGTTCATAGTTTTTCTTTGCAGCGAAGCTGTCCGAGACTAGTATTCTATGATACCTGGACTATAGGCGCTGCTTGCAACTACGTTAGTTCCCAGAAACTAATTGTAAGGGAACATTTGAATTTTGCCTGCGATTCCAACTGAGTGCCTGAGCCCTCTATTTTTGAATTGTGAAGGTCGTGCAGTTAAGGCTTGTTCACTGGTTGTGGTCACTTGCTGTTGACGAAATGCCGTCATTTTTCTGCATTCCACTAGCATGTAACCGACAAATAGACTCGCTCGATCGTCGGCAGAACAACCTTCAAGTTAGCTCTTTTTTAACAATTTTTTCTTCAAAACTCGTAGGGCTAGATTATAAGATTACTTGGAAATGGCATTTTCAGGCTGTACCTCATGATATTGATCGTTACCGCGGTCTCGAAGAGCTACTCTTAGCGATGAATCACATCAAAGAGCTGCCAAAGGTGGGGATAATGTGATCCATACTCGTGTACAATGTTAGGGCGACCTTTGTTATGTAGCAAAGAAAGCCTGTTTCCAGACTCTTTTTCGCTTAACCAAACTTCGTCTGCTCGATTTGAGCGATAATGATATTTTCTGCGTTCCTCCTGAAATCGCTTCCCTATCCAACCTCGTGGAACTGAACCTCAGTAGAAATGGTCAGCGGGTCTAGGGTTGTTTTTTTTTCATCTTGTTAATGAGATAATTAGACGCATGTAGCTTTACAGATATCTCTGACTTGCCTGAACAGTTGAAAGAGTGTAAAATGCTTATGATTTTGGACTTAAGTTCAAACCCTATTACAAGGTCAGTTGGTGAAATCACTCTGCAAATACTTATTCTTGAGTTCGACTGATTGAATGGTCAAATGAAGAGCTTCGTTAGAATTCCAGGTTGCCTGAGACAATAGCACACTGTGTCTCATTGACTCATCTTGGTTTGAATGATGTGTCGTTAACTCAGCTTCCTGCCGATATTGGGCAGCTGGTTAACCTTCGATCTTTGGAGGCTCGTGATAATCTAATACGATCGCTGCCGACAAGCATTACACTTTTGAAAAATCTACAAGTATTGGACCTTGGCCAGAACGAGCTCGATCAGCTGGTGAGTCAGTGAGCTTTGCAAACAGTTTCTAATGAAAGGGAATGAATTATGCTGTTCGGTAAATCCTTTTCTCATTTTGCATAGTTTCAAGACAATTTTTACCTATTTGCATCCATCTTCTTGTGAATGTTTTTACATGTTTACGCTGTTGTTTGTTCCACAGCAGGGTTTCATATGATAGCCATCAAATTGAGTAGCGTTTAAACTTGTTCCCTGATCATCATTGTGGTACATTAGGGTTTAGATGAGTACGAGGCTTATTGAATGTACACGGTCTCATGCCATTCTTGCTTTCATCGCTGCGCACTTATGGGAGTTGGTTCTTTTGGCATTCATCTTTCCGATTACACACACATTTCTTACTCTTGTTCTCGTATTCTTCTTTTCTCCTACAAAGCAGTTGTTTCAGCCGGCTGAAATGGGTTGCTTGGAGTCTTTAAGAGAGTTGTACATAGATTCGAATGATTTGGAAACCCTTCCGGAACAAATTACGAAATGTCGGCTTTTGGAACAACTTGGTGTGTTTGCCCACCTCGAATCCTTCTCTCTTTAAACTCAAGTTTTTTTTGTGACGGATTTCTTTTCTTGTAATGCGTTTGTTGCAATGTTTAGACGCAAGCGAGAACCGCCTCTGCACTTTGCCTGATGAATTCGGGGATCTATCGCAGCTGACTGATGTCAATCTATCTGACAATGAATTGCAATCTATTCCAAATTCAATAGGTAAATCGTCCTTACAGTGAAGTGACTTCCTCCTTATTCTCTTTCCTTTCATATTTCTCTCTTTCTTAATTCATTTCAGGCCGTCTAAAGAAGCTCACCATATTGAAACTCGAGAAAAATCACATCCATCAGTTAACCCAATCAATAGGAAGCTGTGATCAATTGACGGAACTTTTTCTCACTCATAATTTGTTGCAGGTTAGAGAGATTTGCACCATCTTATTTTTCCTGATTGGCTACAGTAGACGCAAGCTGAACATTCTAGCCCGAACTTATTCAGGAGTTACCGTCATCGATTGGAAACTTACGTAATTTGAAGAACTTGAACGTAGATCAAAACAAGCTCTCCGCCATACCAACAACGGTTTGTTTTGTGTTGTGGTGAAATGCAATAACGCGCGTTCAAACTTCACATAATCAATTTTTGTTCCTTTTTTTTTTGTCTTCAGATAGGTGGCTGTACGTCCCTGACGGTGTTGTCGTTGAGAGAAAACGAAATCACTGAAATTCCTATGGATATTGGGAAGTGTGAGAGGTTAACAGTACTTGATCTGTGCAGTAATCGACTAAGTCACCTACCGTTCACAATTAATGTCTTGTTCAAACTACAGGCTCTCTGGCTGAGTGAGAACCAGGTCAGTCGCTTGAATCATTTTTCTTTGGCTACCGTGTTCAAGCGTTTTTAAAATAATCATCAGCTCGAAACTAGGGTTGCGAAAAGTTTTCAATTCAATTATAAGATACACATAGTGATATGTT